AGATGTGTGTGTTTCTATCTGTGTAAGTGTATGTCGTATGCGTTCTTGTGCTCATGAAGGCCTAAAGAGGGGGTTAGATCCCCTGGACTTTTATTTAGACAGTAGCAGTGAGTTGCCTGACACAGGGGCTGGGAACTGATTTCCAGTCTCCTGCAAGAGCAGCAGTGCTCCTAACTGCTGAGCCTTCTCTCTAGCCCTTGATTTTATTCATTTATTCATTGTATGTGCATGGCACAGCACACATGTGGAAGACAAAGGACAGTTGATTCCCTCCTTCCACCAGGTAGGTCCTGGAAATCAAACTCAAGTCATCAAGCTTCATAGCAAATGCTTTCATCTGCTAAACTGTCTTGCTGGCCCCAATATTTTATCTTGTCTCTTTTGTGGTGCCCTGAAGCATTGTCACCCCAAATAATGCACCATAATAAAATTAGGAGTGACTAAGAGGCATGGCTTATGTAGAATTGGGGAAGGGGAGGCTGGAGAGATGGTAAAGTGCTTGTACAAGCATGAACTGGGATCCCACATTAAACCTGGACATGGAGGCTCACATCTCTAAGCCCCCAGCACTGGGTGGGGGCAGAGACAGGTGAATCCTGGAGGCTTGCTGGCCAGCCACCCTAGCTGAAATGGTGAACTCCAGGTTTAATAAGAAACTTGATAAATAAGGGGGACTGCAATAGATACAAACACCTGACACTGACCTCTGAGCTATGCGTGTGCACAAGGGCACATACATGCACAAAACGGATGAAGGGCACTTTTGAAAGGGTGTGTAGTAGAAATGGCAAACTAGCCCAGGCAGTGGTGGTTCACACCTTTAGTTCCAGCACTTGGGAGGCAGAAGCAAGTGGATCTCTGTGAGTTCAAGACCAGCCTGGGCTACAAAGTGAGTTACAGGACAGCTAAGACTGTTATACAGAGAAACCCTGTCTCAAGAAACAAAAACAGACAAAACTTCAGCCATATATGTTTTAGAAAGGAAGGCATATAGAGGGTGTGGCCTCACCACCAGGACAAGGACTTGCCTTTTAGCACAAAGACCCACAAAATCACAGATAAACCAGGCTATTTGGTTACCTGACTATCTGAGACTTTTTGGAAAGTGTTCATGTTCTGGGGATATGAGGACCATAATTTTAAGATTGTTCTTATAATATTTGCTGTCTTTTGATATTCTTAATGAGCTCCAGTCAGCCACATGAATTTATGCTACCTGATATCTATTGGTAGACCCATAATGACCATAACAATGGGAACTTATATTCAGAAGATCAAACCAGTGATTAGAAGGACACAGATTTCAGCCCTATTTACTGACCTTGAGGGAGGAGAGAGGAACTTGATTCTGAATTAAGTCACCAATGGCCAGTAGTGTAATCACTGTACCCATATGATGGAATCTTCATTAAAATAAAAAACCCTAAACAATAGGGTTTAATGAACTTCTGGGTTGGTATCTCATGGAGGTGCTAGATGGATGGATGATGTGCCCAGAGAGGGCAAGGAAGCTTGGCATCCCTCCACGTTACCTTGCCCTCCACATCTCTTCCCTTTTCCTGTTCCTGGATTCTATCCTTTATGACAAAAGAAAAAGTCTAGGGAAGCAACAAGCCTGAGTTCTGTGAGATGCTCTGTAAGGTGGATCGAGGAAGTCATGGGAACTTCTGATTGACTGGTGGTGGTTTAGAAGTGTATGACTCAAAGCTGTAATCTGACGATCCTTCCGGGTCTGTCCCTTTGATCTATGGGTGCATGGTGCTGGAATTTCCCTGAATGGTTAGACACCCAGGTGGTGTCTGGAGAATAGGAGAAGCTGAGTCAGAAAACACCCCACATTTGGTTTCAGAAACATCAGAAGAAACAGAACTTCTCACTGTGAGAATGAGAATGACTAGGGAAACTCTGGTTCATGCTGACTCCAGTTCACACTGACAACGCTTCTCTTACTTTGTGTTATAGTTGCTATTATTAAAATTTTATTGAGTATGGTGGGCACTCAGCACTCAGAAGGCAGTGGCAGGTGGATCTCTGTGAGTTTGAGGCCAGCCTGTCTATAAAGCAAGTTCCAGGACAGCTAGGGCTACACAGAGAAACTGTCTCGGGAAAAAAAAAAAAAAAAAAAAAATGTTGAGCAAGTGAAAGGAAGTCCTCCCTCTAAGTGTTTGGCATTCAGGTTGTAATGCAGTTGTTTTAGTTCTCTGGTCGTTTCCTGTTGTAGATATTATCAGTCACATACTCTTCCCACCCAAATTCCTCCAACTCCAAGGTTGAGAACATCATGTTCTATTTCTTTTAAGAGTTCTACTCTGAAACCTGCAGAGAGTTGTTGAGAGGATGGATGAATAAGCTAATTGTAGTTGGCCAAGAGAGTTTGAGCCTGTCACCTTTCCTTCCCTTTTATACCTTGTTTTTATGTGCGTGAAAGGGAGAGTGAGGTGCACGCCTGGTCAGAGAACAGCTTTCAGGAGTGGTAATCACTTTCCACCTCTTCCCCTTCACACTTACCCTTGTAGAGCAGATAAACACCAACTCAGGTTCTGTATGCCTGCACGCCAGAAGAGGGCATCAGATCCCACCATGTGATTGCTGGGAATTGAACTCAAGAGCAGGCAGTGCTCTTAACCACTGAGCCATCTCCCTAGACCCTCAATTCAGGTTCTTAATTAATGTCCAAATCTCCTGAGGTGGGAACTTTCATCTCTACCTGGTAGGATTGCTCATTGGCTGGGAGCATAAACTGTAGTACATGACGCGTGAACCTTTACAGACTCAGCCTGGCTGTCTGTCCTCTAGTGTCATCTCTCATAAAGATACCTTATTTTCTTACTAGCTTACATAAGAATCCTTTGATGAACTGCCGACTTTTGCTTTTGTTTCTTGGCCAGAAATCACTTAATTCTGGAACTGTTCTGAGAAAACATGGTGAAAACCCAAATACACAGCCCACAGTAGCAGAGGAAAGAATATCCTGTCTTGGTGTTTTGTTTTGTTTTGTGATGTTGTTTTATTTTATCTCTCAAGACAGGTTTTCTCTCTGTAACATTCCTGGCTGACCTGGAACTCACTCTGTAGACCAGGCTGGCCTCCACAATTCTGACCATCCATCACACCCTACTCTTATTCACTGTGTCTTTTCAAGTGATGCATTCTTTTCTGTGTTTTTCTTTCCTTACTTGCTCTTTGTTGTGTCTCCTCCTCCTCTTATTTTTTTGTGGGGAAGAAACTCCTAGGCTGTCCTGATGAAACACACTATGTAGCCCAGGCTGCCCCCAAATTGAGGCAATCTTCTGCTTGCCCTTTTCTTTCTTTCTGTTTGTCTTCCTTCCTTCTTTCCTTTCTTTAAACAGAGCACACTCTATAGCCCAGGCTGACCCTAAACTTGAGGTGATCCTGTCTTAGCCTCCCAAATGTCTGTCTCTGTTTCTCTATCTATAGTCTCTGCCTGCCCACCCGCCCGCCGCCTGTCTCTCTCTCTCTCTCTCTCTCTCTCTCTCTCTGTGTGTGTGTGTGTGTGTGTGTGTGCGCGCGCGCGCGCGCGCGTGCTGGGAATCACACTCAAGGTCGCAAACACTACCATATTGCACATGCCCTCATGCAATGACACTGCTTTTCACAGGGTAGCTCCTCCACTGAGGATGTGTCTCTGAGGTAGAATTCTGAAAGGCTGTAGATTTGCATGACTATTTGCATGACTATGACTTTGCAGCCCTCCCAAGGACTGAGCACTAATGGTACAGGAGCCTTTTGGAGGTGTCCAGGCCATCTGATTCTGAGAGCACACTTAGGTACAGAGTCTCTTTCCATGTTGCTATCATGTGGTTTTAATACTTTTTTTTCCTCCCTATTCTGTGTCCTTAAAGTCAGTGGATCCTGCCAGGATTGGCAAAGTCAGGGTGAGACCTCTCTCCTTCACTGATGGGTAAGTTCCTGCAGAGAGAAAGGACACTTGTGTGCTCAGGGCTGTTGTGGCATCTCTGTAAATCTAGCCTCTGCTCAGCCAGATTCAACTTCTAAAGGGCTCGGAATGGATGCTTCTGGAAAAAGGCCTTTCTGAGAAGGAGAAGATTGCACTGAAATCTAAGAACTTTCCCTTCATGCCATGGGTACCTCTAGCCTCATTACTTCCTAGATTGGACATTGTCCTGTAATCCCAGCAGCACTTAGGAGATGAGACAAAAGGACTGCTGTGTGTTCAAGGCCAGCCTGGGCTATGTAACAAGTTTCTAGCCATCCAAAACTATGCAGCATAACATTATTGCAAACAAAGCTAAACAAAATGCAACAGTTATTTCATCTCCCCACATTACAGTTTCCCCCATTTGAAACAAGTATTGTTTTCAGAATGCTTTCTGCAACTTCACTGACCTGCGGGCCCAGCCTAGTCAGCAAGCCTAGGTTCCCATGAGAAACTCTGTCTGAAAATGTGTGTGGGGAAGCAATGTGATTATATTTTAATTAAAAATGTTTAAATGTGGTGGACAGCACCTGAGGAAAGACACTTCATGTTGACCTTTTGCCTCCACATGCATGTGCATGTACACAGGTACACGCACGCACGCGCACACACACTCTTTATGGTTGCTCCAGAGAATAAATAAGATACTCATATAAAGTGCAGATAGACAGTGCAGGGCATCTAGTGTGCTGGGAACATCAAAGGGTTACTAGGGTATTAGCCAGGTTATAGTGCTGCCAATCAAAGAAAGATACAGGCTGATGGTGGGGCAGGGCAGAGCCCTAAAGATGGAATCGTTCCTCTGGAATCTTGGGAACAAAGCACCGAGGTTGGAATTGGGAAGCATGTCTGAGGGGTGGGGAGTAGCGCCTTGTCACATGTTTTCAGTGGGAGGAAGAAAGGCCATTGTGAGATATATGTTGACAGTTTCTGATTCAAAGGCTGGTGACCCAGAGCCCCAAACCTGAAGCAGTAGGGTCATCACAGGATTACTGTCTTAGGTTCGGTCATGGCATGGAAGGGCACTCTCCTCCTACCCCTCTTCCGGCCTTCTTAACATGGGTCTTATCCTAGGGCTCAGTTACTCCCAGCGTGCAGCACCCCACCTCTCTCAGCTGGGATGGGAGGCAGGCGGAGGCTATTTGCGGGGGCTGTGCCGGGTGGGCAGTTTTCCCAGAGTGAGGAGTGAAGGATTGAGTTGGCGCAGGCTTCTTCAGATACAGACTCTGCAGGCTGGATGGCCAGCCTGTCCAGGCTAGCTTGAGCCCAAGAGCTGCCTCAGGCTCTGGCTTACTGCTCCAGGGGCTACAGCCCCAGACCTCAAGAGAGTGACATGTCACAGGAGGCCACAGGGGGACCAGCAATGCCAAGAGCAGGGCATGGCCAGACTAAGGCTAAAGCACGATTGCTTCTAGGCACTGACAGGAAGAGGAGCCACCTCAGCAGGACAAGGCAGGACCTTTGGGACAACACCAGCTGGAGTAATCACAGATCGAGCAGGGTCACCTCTGCCCCTCGAGGGACCAGAGCTAAGGGAGCAGCTCATGGCAGGGTAAGGATACGCTGGACTAGAGGAGGGAGCTGGGAAAGGAAGGGGTTGAGGTCAATGAGATGCCAACTCTGAGAGCAAAGCCCCAATCAGGATTTGATGGTTCCACCCAAGAGCAGGATGCTGGCTCCTTAGAACCATAGTGCCATGCTGAGGTGGGCAGGACAGGTCAGAGCTCCATCAAGCACAGCTCAGAGAGTTGATCTAACTAATTTCTACTGAGAAACTCAGGCCCCTAGGAGGGATGTGAATTGCCTAATATTCCTGACCAGAAGCGGGACCTAGACTGAGTTTTTGTTTGTTTGTTTGTTATTTACTTGTTTGTTTATTTTTTTTGAGGCAGAGTCTCATATACTCCAGGCTGTCCTCAAAACTTCCTCTGTAGCCTAGAACACGGATGTTTTATCCTTTTGCCCCCACATTCCAAGTGCTAAGAGTATGTGTCAGCACCCGGTTTATGCCGAGATAGGGACTGAGCCCTGGGCCTCATGCATGCTAGACAAACATTGTACCAATTGAGCTATATCCCCAGCCCAAAGCTGTATGCTTTTACCCTTGGTGCAGAGTCCTTCCCTCTTTACCATGGCAACCTCTTCATCTCAGGACCTAGTTGAGTAAAAGGTCAGCTAAGCAGGGGCATGGCTCTATGCTTCCTGTGGCCCACAGGGTACCCTGATAAGTAGAATCCAGACTTTGGAGTGGAGCTGATGTTAATGTAATAGTAGAAAGGACATGGAACTCGGGTTCTGAGCCAAGTGTTGCCACCTTCCTGTCATCTGATCCTAGCCCAGGCTTTCCTTCATTTGTATTATGAGGTGTGGCTTAAAACCAGTGAGTCCCATTAGTTCCAGAAAATGACATGGCACTAATAGACCCTTAGAATCAGGGTCAACTAGGCATGGTGGTGTACCCCTGCTATCCCAGCACTTGAGAAGTAGAAGCAGGAGGACCCCAAATTCAAGGTCATTCTGGGCTACACAGGGGTTTCAAATCAAGTCCAGCCTGGGCTACGGGAAACTCTGTCCCAGCAATAGCAGCAATAACAAGAGGTCAGGGTTAGATGGGACTCTGGGTCCAATGCATTTTCTGCAGAGCGAAGCCAGCCCTGAGAATGCAGCTCGGGAGCGGACCCGGGTGAGGACGCTACGCCAGGCATTTTTGGCCCTGCAGGCTGCTTTGCCCGCCGTACCACCTGACACTAAGCTTTCCAAGTTGGATGTGCTGGTGCTGGCCACGAGCTACATAGCCCACCTCACCCGAACCCTTGGCCACGAGCTGCCTGGCCCTGCCTGGCCACCCTTCCTGCGTGGACTCCGATACTTACACCCCCTCAAGGTAGGTCACAGGCCTAGGGACTTGGTGGGGAACCTTGGGGAGGTGAATGGGAATTGGGGTCTTTCTTCCTGTTCTCTCAGGGGGAGGACAGAGGCTGGTTCTTGGGGTGGAGTAGTGACGGAGTGTCTGCTTGAGAGTGTGATTGCTTCACGAGGAGGGAAACACTCAGAGATCCTTGGTGTCAGGGGAAGAGAGGTTTGAGTTCCTGGTCTAAGGCCCAGAACCCAGGAGAGTCATCCATCTTGAGTAGCGCCTGCCTTTCTGTTCTGAGTACTGCTGCTGCAGACATCTGCTATTTGGGAGAACAACATCCTAAATCCACAGTGTTCTCGAAGCACCCAGATTGGAAGGCGAGCAGTGTGGGTTGGAGGGCTTCCAGCATGCACCATGCCAAGCCTTTACCCTGTTTTTCTGGACTGCAGGAAGCAAAGAAGGGGTACAAAATGAATGAAAAGTATCGTTAATGATAATTATGAATGAAAAGGATAATTAACAATAACCACAAGGCAGTAACAGCCAGTGTGACTGGATGCTAAAGATAAGCTGGAGGCTGAGCTAGAGCCTCAGAGCATTCTTACCTCTAGGCCCTGCATAACCAAAGGAAGAGTCACAGATGTGGAGACCACAGGGCAGGGAGGGCAAGGGGTGGGCTGGGTTCAGCTTGAACCTGGGCATCTGGCTGCAGACTTCTCCCTCTCAGCCACCACCAAAGGCCCCAAGGCGCTTCAAAGGGCCCTGTGTAGAGTGTGCTGTGAGGCAGGTATGATGGACCACACTGGTAGTCCCAGCACTCAGGAAGCCAAGGCAAGAGGATTACAAGTTCCCGTCTGGCAATGTAGCAAAACTGTCTTAAAATTAAAAACAAGCAAACAAAAAAGAGCTTGCAGTATCATAAAGGAACAAGGGCAACCTTTGCCCTCTAAAGAAATTACCTTTTTCTTTTAGACAAGATGTCATATATTCCAAGCTGGCCTCAAACTTGATATGTAGCCAGTGACCTCCTTGAACTTCTGTTCCTTCTGCCTCACCTTCCTGAGTGCTCAGATTACAGGCCTGTGCAACCACACTTGGTATACACGAGGCACGAGGGAGGATGGAACCTAGGACTTGGAGCATTCTGTTTAAGCACTCTACCAACTGAGCCACATATCTACTTTATTTTTTATGATGGACACTTTGTATCATCTCTTTCTCATACATACATACTTTTCTTCTGAAGTGTCTTGAAACTAAGTGTTCACTTCTTGAGAATGCAGCTGCAATACAAATTTCTGAGATTACACAGGGTCAATCTAAAATGCAAAGGTAGCACTGAACAGAGCTGTAGGGTAAGGAAGCACCAGCAAGGTTCTTATCTGTGAAATGGTGGTGAATCTAAAGCCCTAAGAGTAGTAGATGAACAAAAGATATGTTGATGAGCGCTGATGAGCAAACAGAAGAGGGCAGGGCAGGGCAGGGGAAGAGAGCCTAGGTCTAGAACTCTACAGATTAGTGAAGAGAGCCACTAAGCCCCCAAGGGGGATTTGATAGAGAATACAGAGGCTGAGCAGAGTAATCCTTGCCTGTTCATTTATTTATTTAAAGTTTTTTTTTTGGTTATTGTTGTTTTGTTTGTTTTTGGTTTTTCAAGTCAGGGTTTCTCTGTAGCTTTGGAGCCTGTCCTGGAACTCACTCTGTAGACCAGGCTGGCCTTGAACTCACAGAGATCCATCTGCCTCTGTCTCCCAAGTGCTGGAACTAAAGGTGTGCACTACCACTGCCCAGCTATCCTTGCATTTTCTAAAACCTCCCTTGTTCCTGATGGGAAGACCTTGAAATCCTTGCAGGATGTGAGCTGAAGAGCCTCATGTCAAACAGGGGTTCCAGGCTTAAGGTTGTCATGGTTCTGGCTACAGTAGCTGTGTTAACCGTTCTCCATTTATGTCTTTTCAGAAGTGGCCCATGCGCTCTCGTCTTTATGCAGGAGGCTTGGGATGCTCCAGCCTTGATTCCACTACAGCCATTGCTGCCAGCCAAAGAACCAGGGATGGAGAGGTGGGGTCCCAAGTCACTGTAGCCACAGATATTCACCTTCTCGCTGAACCAGTATCTCCAGTTCTTGGTAGCAAACAACCAGCACACTCTCCGCCTGTGACTCTCACTTAAGGACCTGTCTTTCCCCCTGACTCAGCCTCTGGACTTGACTCAGGTTCAGCTTTCAAGTTCAGGCTCTGCTTCCTGCAGGCAGAAGCAGCAACGGTGACATCAATGGTAAAGAGTTGCGAGGGGCCCAGGATGAAGATCTTCACCTTTGGCTCTTAGGAGGGGACATTCCGGACACTTGTACGGTAGTGGCAGGAAGTGAAAGAGCACAGGGTTTGACGTGGTTCTAAGTGGGGAAGGCTAGGGCCGTGGCAGCCCCAGGTGCTCATGGGCATATTGGGGAACATGAAGGGCCTTTGGTAGCAGTAAGTGTGAACTCTTGGGGTATGAGGTAACAAAGCCAGAGAGGAAACTGAAGAATAGAGGGTGATTTTTAAAAATTGCCCTACAAGATGCTTATCCAACATCAAAGAGGCAGAGCTAGGGTCTTTGTCTCTGGATTACGGTCTCTCCAGCTGCACCCCATCACCACATCCCCCTACCAGGGCCCTGCACCCTTCCATGTTTTCTTAGCATGAACTCTGTCTAGAGATGAAGCCATCACACTTGCATGGCTGATTCCAGAGTAACTTAGCTAGTTCCAGCTGTCTAGGGGGAGATCATTTTATCCAAAGGCATCTATCTCTACTTTCCCTCAATGAGGCTGCCACTCACAGCCCTGCCTACAAAGGGCGTCCATGCACTCAGCTATCTCCTCAAAGGGCCTAAAAGGAAGCATGTATATCTTTCTCGTGGGATGACAACCACAGTGTTCATTTCTGTTATGTTAGAAACCTCACCTCAGGGAAAATACAAGACAAGGTGGGCTTTAGCATGTTCTCTATGCAGTCGTGGTTTGGGGCTTCATTGGTTTTGGTATAATTTACACAGTTCTAGAAATCAGCTCCCACAGACATTCTCACCACAGACATTGACTTCCCAAGCTCACCCAGAGTCCTGGTACAAGGTGCCAAAAATTTTGCTAGTGCTTCAGTAACACTTGCCCATGGCCCCGAAGAAATAATTTGAGGACAAAGCACACAATGAGATGGGTCTTCCAAGTTAGGTGTCATTTCAGATTGGCCCCTGAGATCTAGACACAGAAGAAAAGCTTTACTGTGAAACTTCAGTATCTGAGGCCAACTAGAGTGAATTGAGTGGAGGCTTTGGCAGGCTGGAAGGGTCTGCTCCTCCTCCTCCATAGGGCTGACCAGGGCATCCAGGGGGGAGGGGGATTGGGGAGTGACTCAGTGAGCTGTGGTAGAGCTAGAAGACACAGAACGTCCCAGCCTGAGCTGCATGGACAGGGAGAGCAGCTGGGCTGTGGCTGGGAGCCATTGCAGAAGGCCTCAGCCAAGGCCAAATGCATAAATCTGCCTGGTCCCACATTTCTGCTAAGAGACCCTGAGAACTTGTACAGAGCTGATGCCGGCAGCTGGACAGGGCCAGGCAGGGGCAGAGACCAGGTGTGGGAGGGCAAGAGCAGCATTCTTCACAAGACCATAAAAGTCCAGCCTGGGGGGCTTCTATTTTTAAAACCAAATAGCAGCATCTCCCTGGTTGAGTTGGAGGGTGGTAAAAAGACATGTCCATGACTTCCTCCCAGTAGGTGGCATAAGATCTGTCTCTGGGCAAGCAGGGAATTGGCTTTGGGTATGTGCTGGTTGTCTCCTCACAGTGTAGAGCATCTCCTAATGCTTAAGTTGAGTTTGATTTAGAGCTATCAGTGTCCACCCTGTCCAGACTCAAGTTTTTGCCTTACTTTGACAAACCCCTCAGGGCTGAACACATAACAGCATCCCAATGGAGACGACAAAGAGGATGAAGTTGGTAGAGGATTGGGTTAAGAGCAAGCCCAGCTGGGCAGTGGTGGCACACGCCTTTAATCCTTGTACTTGGGAAGCAGAGGCAGGCAGATCTCTGAGTTTGAGTCCAGCCTGGTCTACAAGAGCTAGTTCCAGAATACCCTCCAAAGCCACAGAGAAACCCTGTCTTGAAAAACAAAAACCAAACCAAACCAAAACAAAACAAAAGAGCAAGCCCATCAGGAGAAGCTAGATTTTTGTTTTGTTTTTGACAAGGTTCACCATGTAGCCCAGACTGGCTTTGAACTTGAAATCCTCCTGCCTCAGCAGGGATGATGGGCTCACAGGCCTGTATCTCCCTGCCCAACTAGGACATGTTTCTAAGACTACTTCCAGGGAGTATGGTTTTCTTAGTGGCTAAGACAGCCACCTGGCACAGTTACCCTGAGAGTTAGAGGGAAGGCAATGGGAATGGGAACCAAAGGGAGACCCAAGACATGACTGGGGCCTCACCCTCCCTAAGGCGCACAATGCTACCCTTGAACTGCAGTCTGTAAGGCAAACATAACCAGGAATGAACCCCTTTGTTCCCACAGCAGAAGAAAAGCACCTGTTGACTGGGAGACCTATGCTTACCAGTGCTGGGGACAGGGCGGATAAGAGCAGTTAGAGGTCATAGAAGGAGCTGAACTCTGTCACCAACAATAGCTATTCCTAGGAAGAAGCATGGGCAGGGACCATGCACAAGGTAAGGAGCAGAGATGAAGGTGGCGTGAGGGCACCCCGGTCCAGGAGTTGTCAGTGGAAGGGCTGCACCCAGTGAACCTAGTCCATTCAGATCTCTTCCAATCCCTCTCAGGGTGAGATGCAGGCAGAGTGCTAAGGAGACTTCTTGTTGCCTCTCTCCACCCAGCTGGATATGCTGCAAGAGACCATGACTGAGGCTCCGAGGGAGCTATGAAAGGGCAGAGCTTGTCAAGCACAGCTAAGGATTATGGTGGCCATGAAGTTCATCAAACTGGGAATGAATGATGGCTAATCTTGCCTGTCAAGTTGATTGGATTGAGAGGTGCCTGGGGGTTAGTAAAGTGTACCTCTGGGTTTGTCTGTGAGGACTTTTACCTACTGAATGGCTTAGTTCATCGATGGATTCAAAATAGACTATTATAAACTCAGCACGGTGGTGCATGCCGATCTCTGTGAGTTGAAGACCAGTTAGGCCAGCCAGCCAGAGCCTGTCTCAAAAACAAAAACTAGAGTACTGAGCTAGGCAACAGTGGTGGCGCACATCTTTAATGCCAACATTGGGGAGTTGGAGACAGGCAGATCTCTGAGTTCGAGACCAGCCTGGTCTACAGAGCGAGTTCCAGAATGGTTAGGATTACACAGAGAGACCTTGTCTTGAAAAACAGAACAAAAGTTAAGACTATTAGGTGGTGATGGAATTGGAGGTCGTAGGTCACAGGGCTGGGGCTTTGTGCTTGGGGATATATGTCATGCCTAGCCTTTCCCTGTTACTTCTGCCCTCCTGTCTCTGTATGCTATGAGAGAAAGCTTCTCCTTCTACTCCTGATACCATGATGTTCTTTCTGCTCATACCCAGGAGGCTAAGAAGCCATGAACCTTCAAAGTTTGGACCAAAACAAACCTTTCTTACTTTATACTGTCTCTGTCCGGAATTTGGTCACAGCATTGTGAATGCCAGCAGAGAGTAAGATCATGATGTTTTCTAAGAAATAATCTCCCCTTCTTTCTTCTGGGAAGGGCCTGGCTACGATGAGTAGGAGAACGCCAGCTTCTCCATTTCCTAATACAAGCCCTGGAAGCTAGTCTAGATCAAGGCTGAGCTAACCAGAGCCAATGGGCCAAATCCAGCTTCTATATGCTTGTGTAAATAAAGTTTACTGGGATAGCTCTGTATATTTGTTAACATTATTATGGTTGCCTTTCTCATACCAAGGAAACGAGCTGAGATAGTCCTGAAAAATCCCAGAACATTGGCTATCTAGACTTGTATAGAACATTTCTGACTCTTGCTTTTCTCATAATTTAAAAACATATGGGTATTTCAAGCCTTGTATTTTCATAATATAAGAATAGAAGATGCAGGGCTAACTAGGGCTGTGGTGGCCCATGCTTTTAATCCCAGCCCTTGGGATGCAGAGGCAGGTGGATCTCTGTGAGTTCGATGCTGGTTTGGTCTACAAAGGTAATTCCAGGACAGCCTCCAAAGCTATAGAGAAACCCTGTCTCAAGAAAAAACAAACAAAAAAGATGCAGGGCTGGAGAGATGGCTCGGCAGTTAAGAACACTGGTTGTACTTCCAGAGGACCGGGTTTGATCCCAATACTACATGGTGACTCAGAACCATCTGTAAGTAGTTTCAGGGGATCTAACACCATTTTTCTGGTCTCTATGGGTACTGTGTGTACATGGATCACAGACATACAGGCAAAACACCCATACACAAATTTTTAAAAAATGAATACAATTTAAAAATAAAAAGCCCCCAAGCAAAAGAAAAGAAAAGAAAAGAAAAAAATAAATAAGCATTAAAGATAAAAAGAATACAAGATACTACAGGCCTCATTTCTCCCTCCCCCTCTTCTCTCCCTTTCTTCCTTCATGCTTTTTACATCTGTGTCTGTGCGTGCCATGGAGCACACATGGAGGTCAGAGGTCAACTCATGAGAGTCTGTTTTCTCCCCTTCAAATGAGCTCCAGGGATTGAACTCAGGTGAGCATGGCGGCAAGAGCCTTTCCCCGCTGAGCCACCAGCCCTCTTTTCTGTTGCTGTTGAGACAGGGCATCCCTAAATACCACAGGCTAGCCTTCAGGGGGCTCTGGCCTTCAGAGGGCTCTGGCCTGGGTCTGTCTGTCTGTCTGTCTTTCTTTCTTTCTTTCTTTCTTTCTTTCTTTCTTCTTTCTTTAACACATCTAGCTAAAGTTATTCTTAAAATCTGTGGTGTGTGTGGGGTGTGTGTGTGTGTGTGTGTGTGTGTGTGTGTGTGTGGTAAGGCATGGGGTGTTAAGGCCATAGGACAATGTTGGATTTCACCCCCAGGAGTGCCATCGCCACAGGGCCTCTCACTGTAGACTGCCTGGCCCCCAGCGCTTGTCCCTGCCTCCTTAGCACTGAGCATGCATCACTGTGCAGCTGGCCTCTTTACATGGGTCCTGGGGGTTGAACTTGGGTCTTTATGCTTATAGAGTGAGCTATCTCCTCAGCCCTCTGTTTCTTTTTATTTTTTTCTAAAATGGGTTTAATGTAGCCCAGGCTGGTCTTCAAATCACTGTATAGCCAAAGATGTCCTTTAAGCCCAGATCTTCTTCCTTATGCCTCCTTTGCCACCATGCCTCGATTAATATGCTTTTGTTTTGTTATAACTGTGTGAGTGTGTCTCAGGGTGGTGTATGTGTATGCATGTTAGTGTATGAATGCAGGTGTGCATAGGAGTGCACATATACACATGTAGGCATGAGGTTGATACCAAGGGTCTCTTTCAGTTGTTCTCCACATTATTTTTAATTCTATGCATTTTGCTTGCATGTGTGTCTGTGTATCATGTGGGTGCAGTGTCTGCAGGGCCAGAAGCATCAGATCCCCTGGAACTGGAGTTAGAGACTGTTGTGAGCTGCCATGGTGCTGGGATTTGAACCCGGATCCTCAGGAAGAGCAGCCAGTGCTCTTAACCACTGAGCCACCATCTCTCCAAACCCAGTAGTCTCTCACTGAACATGGAGTTCAACCATTTGGCTATCATGGCTAACTGCAAGGTTTATAGGCATCTGCGCTTCAAGAACAGTAGGACTGCACCCCAGGAGGTGAGGTCTCAGCTTCTTCTGTCTCTATCCTGTTGCACCCCAGTCCTCACCTTCTCTAGAAACATACTGGAGACCTTGGAGGCATCTTGGGGACATGCAGAGCAGGAAGGAGCTGGTAAGAGTGGGCAAGAGAGGAGTGCACAGAAGGTAGGAGAGGCCACTTCAGTCTCTGCCAGGAGGGAGCCAGGCAGGCTTGGTGTGGGGGAGCGAGAAGCAGGGTGAGTAGAGCAGGAGTGAAACCCCATCTCAAGGAAAAAGGGAAAATAATATGGCAGTAGAACGGGTACCTATCTAGCAGGCGTGAAGCCCTAGCTTATCCCCAGCATCACAAGAGAAGGAAAAACAATGCATCATTCTTGTCTTTACAGACACATTCATTGCAGATTATTTAAGCAATGAAAAAAATGTGTACTAAAACCTGGTGGTGGTGATGCTTGCCTGTAATCCCAGCACCCCTTCAGGAGGATCACACCAGCTGTAACTCCAGTTCCAAGAGATCCATCCAATCCCTCTGGCCTCCATGGGCACCTCCACACACACACACACACACACACACCACAAAGGACTAAGCGCTGGGGATATAGCTTTTGGGATCCCAACACTCCAAGGCCAAAAGCTGCACATATGAGAGGGCGTGGTGCTAAAGATAACCAGAGAGAGCGTTGTCTTCCTCATTCAATTTCAGTGTTCCCTATGACAAATGCCAAAAGGGTCTGTAAGGTCCTAAATATGTGTGGCTTCTCAGGACTTCTGAAGCATTTATCTAATTCTTTATTAATAAAAGATCGGAGTCAGATATCAGGGTAAGAACCTGAAAGATCAGAGAAGGGGGGAGCAGCCACCAGTGACTTCCACCCCTTCCGTTCCTTCTTCAAGGGCTGAGATCCTCTCAGTCCCACCTTATTACTTCCTGTCTCCTGTCTGTCCACAGTCCTCCAAACCTCTATGGTGACATTTAGTCAGCTAGAGGTTAGCTCTGCCCTATGACTTTGTTTTCAGAATGAAATAAAAATATCACACAACAGACTTCACTTCTCACCCAGTGCTGAAGAACACAAGGAACTTTCAAGACTGAATGAAACCCACAGAGGGGCTGTTTTGAGGGCCTGGGTTCAGTTCCAAGCACCCACATGATGTCTCACAACTGTTGGTAACTCCAGTTCCAGAGAAGCTGATGCCCTCTTCTGGCCTTCACAGGCATCAGATGTGTGCACAATGCACACACATGTAAAAGAAAATGGATTAATTTTACAAAGAAAAGAAGAAAAGTCCCACAGAATGAATTGGCAAGAAACTTAATCAATCAGTGCTTTATAAAGAATATATTCACAAGGTAGTGATGGTGCACGCCTTTAACCCCAGCATTGGGAGGCAGAAGCAGGTAGATCTCTGTGAGTTCCAGGCTAGCCTGGTCTACATAGACCTACAGAAACTCTGTCTCAAATATTAAAATGCAGCTAGAAATCACCAAAATGCTAACATCTGTGTCTTAGTTAAGGTTACCATTGCTGGAATGAAATGCTATGACCAAAAGCAAACTGGGGAGGAAAGGGTTATTTCATATAACAGTTCATTATCAGAAGCAGTGGAGACAGGAACACATGCAGGTCAGTAACTGATGCAGAGACCATGGAGGGTGCTGCGTACTGACTTACTCTGCCTGATTTCTTAGAGATCCCAGGACCACCAGCCCAGGGATGACCCCACCCACAGTGGGCTGGGCCTCCCCTCATCAATCACTAATTTTAAAATGCTCTATAGGCCCGCCTACATCTTGATTTTTTTTTTTTCAGTGTTGTGTCTGCATCTATACTTGCAGGGCAGAAGAGGGACCAGATTTCATTACAGAAGATTGTGAGCCACCATGTGGTTACTGGGCATTGAACTCAGGACCTCTGGAAGAGCAGCCAGTGTGCTTAACCTCTGAGCTATCTCTCTAGTTTGCATCCTGATCTTATGGAGGCATTTTCTCAGTTGAGGCTCCCTCCTCAGATGACTACAGCTTGTGTCAAGTTGACATAAAACTATGTGGCAATCTCTGTCAGTCCACTCACAAGTGATTTCACAGGTTATTAAAATTGTCTACAAGAACCCAGGCAGTGGTCATGCACACCTTAAATTCCAGCACTCTTGAGGCAGAGGCAGTAGGATCTCTGTGTGTAGTGAGATATTCACCTTGTCGGCTGGTATAAATCAGCCAGTATACTTCAAGGATGAATTGACCTCAGTATGGAAACCAGGATATGTGTTACGTTGGGGTAGGGTTTTGCATTTGTATCCACTGGGGAAGAAAAGCTATGGATACCATCTAAGTTGATCAAGATCAGAGTTGAACAAGAGAAACATCTTAATGAAGAGAAATGACAAGTTATCCAACAAATTGGGTCCCATAAGATATGCCGAGACCTCTCAAAGGTAGGGGAAGTGTTCTTTTCTTGTCCTTACAGGAAAACAGAAAATACCCATCTTCAAACAGCCAAGAGACACTATACATGTAGGTACCTACAGAAGAGAAGATAGCTCTCCAGAAACAATCACTTAATAAAAAGGAATCTGGTTTATGGTAAAAATATTTAATTCTAATAAACTTTCTATACAGAAATCTATTTCTCTTTTATCTTACAGCAGAAGTTTACTATCTAGTATTCCTCTATTCCCAATTCATGTAAACCAATGCTGTCTTTGGAGTTGGATTCAAGTATGTAGTTAAAATTAAATTCACAGTTTCTGCCTTATATCAAGAAGCCAATTGGTGTAAGGCAGAGGAAAACAAAATCTGGGGACTCATTTGATTATATGCAATTTTCTCTCTGAAATCCTAATTTTCTCATATACAT